TGACGATATATGTGGATCAGAACCAGTGGAATAGATGACATAATTCAACGTATCGACCATGTCAAGTCCAAGAATTACAGCCATACTGGCTGCTTCAATGTCTTGGAACTGTCTCCCATTAAATAGCTAGATTGTCTCAGAAAACTATCATTTCCAAATCCAAAATATACAGCTACTGAGTTGAGATCTAAGTAAGTCACTACAAGATCTAGTTTATCATTATTGTTCATATAACCAACTTCAAAAGAAAGCGGATTGAAGTCTTGTTCTAGTGCATAGACTCAAGTCAAGTCGAAAGTTTCGCTACCATATCCAAGAAAGATACTCACAGTACTGCTCGCCTGTTGGACAAGTACAATGTCCGAGAACAATCGCAGTTGGTAGACACTTCAGATAGGTTGGATACGTTGTCGGGCTTGTAAATTTTTTGATAGAATATTGACAAAGTATAGCAACCTGGCTATCGACATCGTTACTCACAACAATGTCTAATCGGCTATCGCTTTTGAAATCGCCAGCGGCAATTGATCGTGCACCAGATCCAAAACCAATGACATCGGCCAGCGTACTCACGAAGCTTCAATTTCCTAATCCTTGAAAAATGATAACAGCACTAGTATTAGCCCACTGACCACGGCAATATCTAGCTGATCATCTATACTAAAGACAGTCGAAAATAATGACACTCTTCGAAAAGTACCATTCTCAAAGCCTAAGAGAATGCCGATGTTGTCAGTGCCTTGATTGACAGTAACGATGTCTAGATGAGTATTATCATTGTTTAAATCGGCAACAGCTACAGAGCAAGGGTGAGAAAGATGACCAGTTGAGATGGTTCGCTGCGTCATAAATGATCCGTTGCTGTATCCAAGTAGAATGCCGATATTGTTGGTGTCAGAATTGGCGACCATAATATCCAAATGTTTGTCTTCATTCATGTCACCAACGGCGAGAGAGCGTATGGAAGAGGATCTTAGCCAGTCCAGTAGGTTGTGCGTTCATCGAACAATCCTTCGTCAGATCCAAGATGAATTCCAACATTATTCGTATCGTAGTTGGCGATGATCACATCCAGTCTTCTGTCAACATTGAAATCGGCAACGGCAAACGAGACAGGACGGAAGGAATCGAGTGAAAAAGTTCTTGCATGAATGAAAATTCCGTTGGCATGTGCAAGAAGCAAAGCAATACTGTTAGTACCATGACACGAAACCATTATTATATCGACTCGATTATCTTGATCGAAGTCACCAACAGCGATCGAATACGGTTGACATGCTGATCCAGTTGAATAATTCATTTGATTTTCAAATATTCCATTAGCATAGCCAAAAAGGATCCCGATATTGTTTGTACCCATATTATCAAAAGTCACAGATCGTGGGCACGAACTGTAGCTAATCGATGTATGTGTCATTGATTTGAAAGTGTGTCGACATTCTTTACCTATTGCAAACAATGGATATACCATGCCGTCAAAATCGCATCACTTTTGGTGATTAATTAGTGATTTTTCAACAAATTTCAGCAGTAAGTATTATTATATTGAAAAGAAAATATTTTTTTTGTAATACTTACTGTCGATGGAGAGCAAGAAATCATCTCTCTCTCCTCATTCACGAGAAACATATCTGAACACCATGGTAAATACTACGACTAGATCGAATCATCGGAAATATTTTATAGAGTGACCCATAAATAGCACTCCGATAAAAAAATGAAATATCTCTGCATCGGATCAATCAAACGAACTGATTTCTTGGTTCGTAGTAGAAGCTCATTCAAAGTTCTTTTTTCATACGGATAACGTAAGCAAATACTACTGCTAAGTATTATTGCTGGGTTTGTCAAAGTAATTTTACTTGTTATCAAGTAAACAGGATACATGTGTAGTGTTTCATAGATAATTTTCAGTCGTCCTCTAGGAGAACAAAATAATGAGCGTAAACTTTAAGTTCAAATTTTCCGGCTCCCCGCCTCCCTCAATGATTATAATAATCAGAATTTTAAATTAAGAAAAACAAATTTAAAAAAATGAGCGAATAGTAACAATGCCAACAAAAGATAGGACGCTTGTAGAAACGATAAAAAATTTCTGTTCGGAATGTAGAAAGTAGAGAGGTTCTTACTCTAATGATTGATTATCGCGATTTTGATGGCATTGAATCTTATCACAACGAGTTGTTCGGCTAAAGATCTTCTGTCTTCGAGATTTATACGTAGCTAAATACTGTTGTTGATTTCATCGTCAAGTAATGACTATGATCAACATATATGCTCTGGAATTTTGAGTTTTCATGTGACTCGTGACAGAAAGTAGTAATGAAGAAATACAAGCAGAACATACTTTCTGTTCTTGGCGAAGTAAAACAAACGATTAAAATATCGATAGTTACCAGTACACATACAAAAATACACGAGATTGAGATGGACCGAGTCGAATGTGACATTTACCAGAACAATTTCGTTCTAAAAGAAGGGTTACTTTCGATTAAAATCGAAATTGAGATATACAATGATCTTACAGTGACCCTGGACATCTACGATTTTTTGCCAATTTTCTGGTTTGAACTGTAATAGGTCCGCTTTTGGGTATCTGGACACTGCGCTGACATTATCAGCAGTAACAGCTAAAGAACATTGCTCGGAATGTATATCTATCATCGGTATCGATTTATTATCTATTAGATAAAATTAATCTGTAGACAAGATAGTAGTCAACCAGAATACACGCTTACTAACAAAATAGGCTTAATGAAATAAACACAAAAGATACTGTTTCGCGTAAAAAGTCGACACCTTCATGTTTCATAATGAGAGAAGATTCAATTTGATGGGGATGTCATTTGCTCGTTAGTTTCAAAAAAAAAATTAATGTAAACTATTTGTACTTTGTAATTGATTAAATTACAAATTAAATTAAATTGAATTATTTAATTTTTTTAATACTTCATGTAGGATATAGGTCTCACATGAACTATTGTAAAAAATTAGCATAATTTAATTTAATTTTTATTTTAATAATTTAAGTCTCAAGCAATAGGATCTGAAGTTTGAAAGTTTTACAGATTGCAAGGACATTCTGAATCTCGTTTGCTGTTAAAAGTCCTATCAGAAGGTATGAAGAAGATTATTAGAACAAGAAGTTATGTGTCGCATGCCTTTGTCTTCTATTTCGCTAACTTTTATTTATTGATATTGAACAACAATAAATAACGAAACGCCCTGTCTACTCAATAGTGATATAGGAGTCTCAGGCAGAGTTCAATTCTAGTTGGGTTAGGTCACGAAAGTAATCTTTTAGTCCGAATCAATTTTAAAAAAAATGACGTATGTCGAACATTGATGGACCATAAAAGTCAAAGATGATGAGACTAAGAAAAAAATACCTTAAGGCAACTATTCATGTATGGAGATATGTTGTTAATACATTTAAAGAGAATCAATATTTGTCTACTATCGTATGAGTAAATAGGCGCACATAGTAGAGCATATGTGCGAAGCCATGCATTATTATTTGATGTGAAAATAAGTTTCCCACAAACATGACAAGTATTTTAATTAGGTAAATACATATGAAATAGCGAATTCTTTCATTTTTCGTGTGTAAAACACAATCTAAAAGGACTCATTACAGACAGAGTAAAACAATATTTCTGTAATAAACAATAACAGTGATATTGTGGGATTGTGCTAACACCTTTTTTCATACACACAACGAAGATTTCATTCAACAGCAAAAACTGCGCTCTCTGTACAGATTTCAATTACTTTATTGCTTCCAAGTAAATGCACAACTACTTGAAACTTGTAATACAGAAAGTACACCGAAAAGACTGCAAGTAATCTCATCCACATAATATTAAACGCTCCTACATCAACATCTAAACATAGTTTTGAAGATAACAAATGTATTATGTGAATGTCGGTAAGCGTATGGTATTGAGATATGTGTAGTTGTAGAAGAGACCCAAAATCACATTCATGATCATTCCTTCCCCGCCTTTCCCCACACACACATCCAATATTTCATTTCTGAAGGATCAAATAGATGTTTTACATTTTAATCTCGTAGGGCTTCCATTAACAGCTTGCTGTTCGTGTTCTAGACCATGCATCATCTAAATCGAATGAAGTCAATGAATCGACTATTGAAAATACAGATATATATTGTACTATATATAAAAAGAATGAAGATGAATCTGATGGAAATATTAAACAATTAAAACGTAAACAAAATTTAAGTCAATCATCAACAGATTCAAATAAACGAATGAATTCTATAGCAGAAACTAATAGTGGTTTACAACCATTTTTACTCGAAAGTGAAGATCCAAAATTTACACATACATTTGTTCCTTGTATGGTTTATTTACCTGTTATACGACGAGTCACAAAACAAGTCAAAATTAATTTACGATTAAAACCTGTTTTAGCTGACGTTTCTTCTTAATATTCTTTAAT